TAAGCCATGTGGTCAAATGGTTCTGTTGCTAACCGGGTTTGATCCTCTTGAAAAAGGGTCACTTAAAATTATACCAACTGTGTCCATTAACTACATTTTTTATCTTTGCAAGAATACTTCTGACTTGGTAATTAGTATGTCCTTGGTGGATGTTTTCAGGCCTCTGTTTCATCATTTTTGTTGACATTGTTTGATTAAGTGTGACCCTTTACGACTTGATTTGACCTTGACCTCGTTTGACCTCGGACCAGTTTTAATTAATTTGCTGGTTCGCTGAACTGCCCACCGTTGGTTCAGATTTGAATTACCGATTCAAATCCTTCCTGAATCATAAATACAAAATCTGTGGTTCAAATTTGAAACGGCAGTAGGTAGTTCAGCGAACCGGCTTAAAGTCATAAAATTCGTCACTTGACAAACAAATATTTAGTTCTGAGGAAGAGAATGGAGACCAGACCTCAGATTCTGGAGCCAAGTAAGCAGATTTTTATTTACAAAGTGTCATGCACACTTTTTAAAGTTTGGGAAATCCTCTGATAAATTATGAATATATTTCTGCACAAAAAAAACCATTTTATTTCATAAAATTAGTTTGTTTATCATTAAATGGTCTTGTAATGTAGGCGACCTGCCATGCATCCGAATTCCCGCCATGGAGTGGAAATCCTGGAAGAAGACATGAAAAGGAAAAAACGCGCGAAAAAAGAGAAGAAAGCCAAAAAAGCTAAGAAAAAGGCGAAGAAGGCAAAGAAGAGACGGAGCAGCTCCGACAGTGGGTCGGAGGAGGATGAAGAGGAGGAGAAGAAGAAGAAAAAGAAATCCCGGTTTGCTGTTGATCAAACAGGTCAAGACTTGATAAGCATTGATCAATGATCACGAATACTTTTCATAATTCAAATAGTTGGAAATAGATTGAATTTAATTCTCTTATTATAATTTCTTGTTTTTAGAATCTGAAGATAGTACAAATTCCTCATCTGAAGTAAAAAGTTGGAAAAAGAGGTATTTTAGATTTTTTTTCAATCTGAGTTGGGTATTCTTGTATTCTTGTATAGGAATAGATAAAACTGTCTTTTGAACATGATAGAATCCTGGGTACTATGTACTCCTGTTGTAATAGTTATTATAAAAAATAACTTTATTTTCTCAGTAAGATTATTCCAAGGAAAATGAAATAGAAGGGAGATACAACTGACTCGGCCCGCCCTACCATACAATTATGCATGCTTTGCAGACGGGTACTCCATTTGAAGAGAAATATTCAGAATAGGTTATTGTATACGCGGTAAATGTACTCCTTGGTTTATTCCTGCACAATAGCAATAAATGATATTCCGGCTTCTTTAATGGCTAAACTACTGAATGGCCAACATAGACAAAAGATTAAGATGTTTTTATTATCACACCAGTGATACAATAACATAAATTCACCAATTAAACCAATTAAACCAATTAAGCAGTGGACACATTTTTGATTTCTTCCAATTTGTGTACTTAATCAACTGCTTTTTGCGATTTTGGATTTTGGAAATTTAGGATTAAGGAATAAGGATTAAGCACTGATCTCTATCTTATTCAAACCCAAGGATGTATCCAGAAAAACACAGAAGTTGTGCAGTGAAGTTGTGCATTGATCCTCAAGTTTAATAGTACCCACACTACATTGGATATTTGAAAGAATAATATTCAAAAACTCATTTTTATAATTTTATAGCGATCCATGTAAGAAGCCTGCTCCAAAGCAACTGACTAAAAAACCGGTTGTAAAGAAACCAGTTGCTAAGAAACCGGCGGCAAAACAGTCCGCCACCAAGCAGACAACTGCCGCTAAGAAGAAGAAGAATCCTAATTATTGTCTGTGTGATAAACCTGAAACTATGGAGATGATAGGGTAAGTGATTCCTCCGCCCCCCCCCCCCTCCCAAATCGGTTTAATTTAATCTACTCCCTACCCCTTCCATCGGAATTTAAAAATTAATGACCTCCTACTTATTAATTGATTGACTAGTAACCACATAAATGATTGAATAATTTTTCAATTTTATTAATCAAACATTCTAATTTTCAACTTTTTGTAATATTAATATTTTTTACCATCGTAGCCAATTTTTTTTATTTTTTTTGAGTCATAAAAGTCTTTAAACCATCAAAGAATATTTATTGTTTAGATGTGATTACTGTGACATGTGGTATCATCCAGAGTGCCTTGGACTGGATGAAATCCAGGTGATTGATTGATTGATTTACAGGACAATAGATTGGATGATTGATTTTTCTACAGGATAATGATTGATTGATTGTTTGATTGATTGCGGGATATTTGTTGATTGATTGAATTTATTAGTTCATCATTATTTGTTCACCAGGGATTTTAATGGATAACTAGTTAATTTAATGTAATAGATTGACAAGACAACTGATATTGATGCAGTAATTGGTTCTTCTTTGATTGAATTTTTGACTTTTGAATTATATTTTTAAAATATTTGTTAACTGATTATGAAAAATTAGTTTATTGTCTTATTTGTTCATTGATTTGATTTGGTTATTTGATTGACGGATTAAATAATTGACTAATTGTTTTCTAGACGAATGAGTTAACTGAGACTAGTTCCTGGATGTGCCCGGAGTGTATGGAAAAGAAAGCTCCAGGTTTATTAACTTGGTTTATTTTCGTCATTTTGTTAAACATATTTTCTGAATTTGAATTTTGTTTTGTCCAGGAGTAAAAAGTGTTGGAGGTCAGAGGGGTTCTGGTAGTAAAGGCGTGGCAGCAGTAGGGGGGCGAGGCAGTACCGCTGGGCGTAACGGTGTGAGCTACAATTCAGATTCAGATTCTGATTCCGACTATTGAACCTGGCTGAACACGAGTCTGAATCCGATTATTGAACCCGACTGTTAAAGAATACTGAACCCGACTGAGCAGAAGTCTGATTCCGACTAATGAACTCGGCTGAACGCAAGTCTGTTTCTAACTCTTGAACCCGACTGAACACAGTTTTGATGCTGAACCCGATTGAACACTTAAACACGATCACAAATTGAGTCTCTAGTAAACAACATTATCTCATAGACATAGATGCAAAAAAGGTCTTTTTTTAGGATCTCAAAATGTACCTTTTGATTTTTTTTATAACTTGTCACATAGCACGACATACAATGATTATGAGAGGAGATTACATAATATACGAATACAGGCCTTATTATGTATGTTTATGTACATGTTGTACATTCATATATACACTTATTAGATTTAGTTCAATATGTCTTTCTAATGTACTTTTTTGGTGTACTGTACAGAGATATTGTTTAAAGTGTGCACAGTGAACTTTTCTAACTTTTCATATTAAGTGTACTGTGCTGTTCTCTACTTAAACTTAAGCCATGTCCTTGATAAAAAATATTCCAATTTTAATTTGATTTTGTTGCCTTGATACATCACCAAGTTTTTTTTTTCCATGTGTTGCACGTTTCCAAGAGAACATTTCTTCAGTATTTTAATTGTGATGTTGCTTTCTCGTTCGAACTATTTATAAAATGAGATTTGTTAGATTATGTTGTTTGTTCTAAGGTGTAAATTATCACTTGTCTCCAATTGCTATGCATATATAACATTTATATATATGTCTGGAATATTTCAGAAAATGAACCGGTTATTTAACCTCACTCAGACAATGATCAGCCGAACTCTGCTTGCGCCATCGGCGCCATCTTTAAATTCAAATTTGGCACCAAATTTTCTAAAACCATTTCGTGGATTTTTAAATCAGGAATGTCAAACTTCAATTAAAAGTTCTAAATTATATTTTGCAACTATTTACTGTTGGAAGGGGAAAAATCATCATACACATATTTAATTGAAATTTCGATTCCGGTCCAGATCGAGCAGGTCCGGGAAAAGTCTCAAAAGCCGAGAAAACTTCACAAATCTCTTCGCGATGGCGGAGATAATGGCGGTAGGTTCATCAACAGATATAATATTTTTAATAAATGATTAAACCTTGTTTTGTAGGATTAACATATGGCGTTGAAATAATGGATGCACATAGAAAAGGTTAGATTTTGATTTTGTGAAAATTTTAAAGGCATGATTTAGTAATCACCGAGGGGAGGAAGGCCAACCACAACAATTCCTAGTTCGAGCCACATTCTCCTCATTTTCTCGTGCGAGCCACCTCGAAATCCTCGCCCTTCCAAAGATGAGAATATTATTTGAAAATCTGGCAACTATAGGCCATGAAAACGGCCAGACTAAAGTTTTGCAATGATTTTAAAATGTTGGAATCTTCAAATCCACAAGAATGATGTCAAACTTTATTTAGGTTAAAACTTAAACCTCTTCTGCCTCCCAAAATGGCTAACTTCCATAATTCAAAAATTATATCAAAGTATTAAAGGCATGATTTAGTATTTATCTATTTACACACATAAAGCAATATTTTTGAAATCATGATCACCCAAACCTTACTGGCATGATTTAGTATTTATCTATTTACACACATAAAGCAATATTTTTGAAATCATGATCACCCAAACCTTGCTGCTCAAATATCATCATAAGAGCCATATTCTTTGTAAATGTTCAATGTTCATTTAAAATCCGGGTTCATTTTAAAGATTGAAGCATTGTACGTATTTTGTACAAGCGAACAATCCACTATTTTGTAAATTTTTCATATTTATTTTTTTCTTTCAGGACCACATATTAAATACAGACCGAATAAAAACCCTCTGGGCTATGGAGTTCCATTCGCTAAGGAATCATTTTTTGATTTGCACAATTTTTTTGTTTTTGTTATGCGAGTAACGTTTAGTAAATTGTTTATTTTAAGGACTGAGCTGGGAACTTTAGATAAATTAAAAACCGAATTTTCAAATAAGAGAGTCCATCCCGTTTCTGTATATTAATCCTGAATGGCGCGCAAAATTTCAAATATCCCGGCTTCTGATACGCAGCTCTGATTGGTTGAATTTTATTCCCTTTTCAGGATACAAGTACAAGATTAAGTTAGTCTTGAGGTTAAGAAAAAGGGAGGATCAAGCATTGATCTCGATATCCACCGTTCTAAAGTTCCCAGCTCTGGAAACATAATTTTAAGGGACCCTCTCATTGACAGACTGGAATGTCTGATTTTCCACGGTATCTGTAAAAGCTTTGTCTGATCAAGTTTGCTTCAAATATTCTTGTTTTTGAGAACTGGTTACTTTCATTCATTGGTTCTCTGCAGAAGTCACTTGCGCATTTCTTGTATGAAAAACAATCGAGGAATTATCGGAATTAATCAATTTTTAAGCCAGGATTGCGACGTTTTTTCCACAATCCTTATTATTGATCAGATCAAGGTTTCAAGGGTGTTGTTTTGAATCGGACATAGCCCTTTTTTAAATCTAGGGGCTCTTATAATTACTTCGACAGGGGGGGACCCGACTGGTAACGAAGACTGAACCCGATTGAGCAGAAGTCTGATTCCGACTAATGAACTCGGCTGAACGCAAGTCTGTTTCTAACTCTTGAACCCGACTGAACACAGTTTTGATGCTGAACCCTTCAGGGTTAGGTTAGGTTAAGACACTTTCTGGATCGAGCGCTGCGGTTTTGTCAGGTTAAGGGGCCGAGCTCTGCGGCTAGAATAGGTGCGCTCTCTCTCCATCTTGTAATTCAACGCGGCATGCGCGTAACTCCTTCGGTTTCTGCCATGGAATTACACCAATTCTCCCGAATTTTATTTTTAAAAATCTAAAATTGATTTGGTTCAGGGAATAGTAATTAGAACAGTTGTTAAAAAACCAAAGAAACCTAACAGTGCCAATAGAAAGGTAAGATACAGTGGTCCCCAAAACAATCCATAGCTGCATGCCGATGTTTATTGTTTAACTCCGTCCAGCTTTAATATCTAGTCCTTGTAACATTTTGCTTTTAAGTACACGTTTTTCATACAAATGTTTGTTGCAATTTCACTTATTTTTAGCTTCTCTTTTTTTATTAATATATATCTCTCTTTTCTTTTAATATTCATTTTGAAGTTTTCATGTTAAACTTTATTTATAGATATTATTTATAAATATATACAGTTGTAGATAGTTCTTAGATACTTTGATTATTTATCAACTGTAGAGAGTAGACGAAATTTCAAGTACATATAAAAGCTTAGTCTGATTAAAGGGAGTGACCGGCAATATATGGTAGTTGAACAGAAAATGTTGTATTGTGGAAAAACTTTTTTTTTTTAAATTGAGAAACATGGAATTACCTATTGTAAACCAATGTTCAATATTAAGTGTGTTGTTGTTCGTCTATCCAGCGGTAAAGAAGTAACTTCCTATGTACCTGGTGAGGGTCATAATTTACAGGTAATTGGAAGCTGTCTTCTTATCAATATCTGTCTATCTATATATCTATTTATCTATTTATCTATCTATCTATCTATCTAGGTATGAAAAAATATGTAAAATACCCCCCCCCCCCAATTTGGGAGACTTAGCCCGTCTATTTATATTATATATCTATATGTCTCGATCTGTTCATCCATATATCGATCTGTATGGTTATTTCTCAATCCATTTATCCATCTATTCATCTATCTATCTATATATTTATCTATCCATTTATGTATGTATCTATCCTATCTATCCATCCATCTTTATATCTCAATTCATCTATTTATCTATCTATCTAACTAGGAGCACAACCAGGTGCTGGTGCGTGTGGGGCGGCTGCGTGACACCCCTGGAGTTAAAACTAAATGTGTCCGCGGCAAATACGATCTACCCCACGTGGTCAAGAAGAAACAGTAAAACCGCCATCTTGAATTGTTGTTATCTGGTTATTTTTATCTTTACACAAGAGAAATATAATTTATGTTCTAGAAAAAATGAGATTTCCGATAAACATCCTTAAATCAATCAATCAACCATTCCTCCTTGCACAGGTAAATCAATACAAAAAACACGCATAAACCCCACTGATTTATAAATTTATGAATAAAGGGACTGTCAGTAAAAGAGGGGTTGTACCCGATTCACAACGGAACCCTTTAAACCTTTATCAGACCTATAATTTAGAAGAAATTTTTCTTGCGTTAAAAAGGTTAGTTTCCGGCTCTGTCGCCTTAATTTGAATTTATTCATTTCTTAAATAGAAACCCATGGATATCTCGTTCATTCTTGAATTTAAAGGTACTGATGTAAGTCGGACATGCAACTCTAAATATAGGGTCCCTTTAAATTATGCCTACAGTCCCTTTAATCTATTTTTTATAAGTGTCGTCAGTTGTCCCTGAGTTCCCCGCTAGCCTGCAGAAGCTCTGCATTCAGAGAAGCAGAAGCAAAGGTAATTATTTTTTTTTTAGTAATTAAGAGAAAACTCTTTATTCCTTTAAGAATCAATTTGGTATCGTTTAAATTGCTTGTTTTATTCCTAGATGAGGTTTATTTTTCCTAAATTATGCAGATATACAATTTTCATTGTTAACGCTATGCTGCACTTTGATGCGCTGCGCCCTTAAGGCGGTCTGGGGGTTTCTTGTCGGGCTTCCTTTCAAATCATTACATTATTTCTTTTTTCTTAAATAATAATTATGATAACTAGCTGAAATGAAAAAAAAATTAAAAAATTAAAAAAAAAATTTATTTTTTAGTCTATAACACCTCCTGGCCACTCATGGGTGTCCTCAAAAAATTCAGCTCAATATATATATACGAATGTCTTGTTTTATTATATAGAATAATAGCTGAATTTGACTCAAGCGAAGTAATTCAGTAGAAGTTAAACAGCTCGTTATTTGAACAAAAAATGCCGTTAAATTAAAATTTGAATTTACTAAAAAAAATGTATGTTTTTCTGTTCTAGTTAAAACTAGCTGATGAAGTGGACCCTGATTGTCAACTGGTTTACAATATTGTTCTGTTCTAGTTAAAACTAGCTGATGAAGTGGACCCTGATTATCAACTTGTTTACAATATTGTTCTGTTCTAGTTAAAACGAACTGATGAAGTGGACCCTGATTGTCAACTTGTTTACAGATTACCAATAGGTTAATACAGAATCTTAACTAAATAAGTGTAAAATTCTGGCATTTCTCTTTTTTTTTAAATGGAGAGTCTCTTGAAGCAACCCCTGAAATCCCTTACAGGAAAATATTTGAATCTGAGAAACCAAACTAAGTAATAAATAATAAGTTTTAAAAAAAATTAGACAACTTTTAGACATGCATTGGGACAAATAAAAGTGTGAAATAAGAAGACGACATTTATGCAATCGTATTTATATTAACTATTTAGTCTGGTTTTAAAGTAAACCACTTGTCCAGTAGCTTAAAAACCAGTTAGCAAAGTTGCACACTTCACAGTTGCTATGACTCATGTTTATTGGACTATCTACAACCGTAGCTTGGGTTTAACAGTCGTCTTCATATTCCACAGATTTATGGGTCTCACTGTAGTTAAACACTCCTTGTAAAACCACCATTTTCCCAAGATAAATTAAGTAAAGAAAAGAAGAAGAAAAATTACTGAAAAAGCTAGATTTTTTATTTTTATTACATTCAAAATTTTCTGTGATTTCAGGAAGGTACACTACGTACGGAAAGTTTGCTTGTTACTTTGCAACTGCTATTGGATCATTAGGTGAGAAATTTTCAGAATAAAACTTTTTTTAAATTAAAAAACGACGATATCTTCCACATAAGTTTCGAGAAAAGGGATAAGGATACTGTTGTGAATCTGGTATACTCCTTCGAATGGAAATCGAAATTACAGTAAAAGTTAAATTGAAAACCATGTTTTCTGTATTGCATTCTACCAATCTTATTCACGAAACTGATAAATATAACGCGATAACACAAAACGAGGTACTTAATTATTAAAAAGGAAAGAAATGGATATCAAACGGTTAAAACTTATATACAACATGCTCATCTTGGTCATAACAATCAGCTCCACCTCCGCTCACGCGAGTTCGAACACGACTAACTCCTTCCTTGACCTTATCGATAGTTCCTTAAGTTCTTCGGCGGTTAAATATCCGTAGCTAAAATCATGATTTAAGACCAAGTACGGTAAACGGCGGGAGTAACGATGAGTTTTGAGTAACCTGGGCAGCGCCGGGTTCCCAAGATTCTTGTAAGGGTATTAAATGATTGGTGGGGGGAGTTGATTTCTGTAAACATTAGTTGGGGCAGGGAGTCGTAATATATATTTATATATAGATAAATGTGTCGGATTCTATAGAAAAGTGGAATACTTACTTAGAATACTTGTAGATTTGTCATCAGAGTTTCATATAGGAGCATAGAGATGACGTCTTTATGTAACCAGCATTTTACTCATAGGTTTCTCATTCCTGCTGATCTTGTATTTTATCATATGAAGACTTGAAAGTTTTAATATTTCCTGCTCCTTTGATATATTCTGGTAATTTGTTCCATTTCTCCGCTACTCTGTTGGTGAAGAAATTTCTTCTAACCTCAGTCCTGCATCTGGTTGTTAATATATTTAATGCATTAGAAGATTGTCTGGTAACCCTGAATGATTCTTCTAACCTCAGTCCTGCATCTGGTTGTTAATATATTTAATGCATCAGAGGATTGTCTGGTAACCCTGACTGATTCTTCTAACCTCAGTCCTGCATCTGGTTGTTAATATATTTAATGCATCAGAAGATTGTCTGGTAACCCTGACTTCTTCTAACCTCAGTCCTGCATCTGGGTCTTAATATATTTAGTGCATCAGAAGATTGTCTGGTAACCCTGACTTCTTCTTCTCCTGAAGTCTGAAAGAAGAAAGGAAATTGGCAAAATTCTTTTCTTTTCTAGTTTTTAAGCGACAATATCATAATTGCTAATACAAGGTTTAAAGGGTAGCATTGTATACCGGGTATACCACTTTATGGAAGACAACTGTTAACCCTTTCTCTCAGATTAATTGACTGATATATTCTGTTTTTCTTTCTGAAAGTCTATAAATGTAAAAGAAGGAACTAAATAGACAAAATTTTGCTCTCTTAAAGTGTTTAAAATAGAAAAACTGTAGGGTCTGCGTCATGGTTATAACTCAGATAAGGTTTAACAGAGTTACTTGGTCTGTGCACGCTAGGAGTGCCACATGCGTGGCTATGTAAAGCGGCTCATGGGCTTTTGTTAGCCGCAACCATTTAGGTATGTTTTGGGCCATACATCTCATCATATTTTCTCTTAAAACTGTTCAGAGTTTTAGAGGATCTAACACTGTCAGGGATTTCATTCCAAAGTTTGGGAGATCTAACACTAAAAGAGTGTTTTCTCCATTCACTATTAAAACTTTTATGTTTTAGATTGAGAATATTCGAGGCCAGTCTGGTATCTTGTGTCTGGTATCTTGTGTTGAATTCTTTCTTTCAAACCAATGTTTTTTTATCTACATGATCATTCTGTGATAATATTTTCCATACTTGAATTGCATCACCTCTTTTCCTTCTTTCCTCCAGACTATAGAGTCCAACCTCTTTTAGCTTTTCTTCATAGCACTTTCCTCTGAGACCAGAGGTCATTCTCACTGCTCTTTTTTGAATGTCTTTAAGAACTTTAATGTCTTTTGCCATCCAAGGGTTCCATGCCTGTACAGCATATTCAAGTAGAGGCCTGACATAAATAGTATAGAGTTTAAGCCAAACCTTTTTATATCTTTTTATCTCGGTATGAGAATGCTCTTACCATCCTGCCCAGGGTTTGATTTGCTTTCTTTGCAGCAGTTATGCACTGTTCGGTACCATCTTGAATCGGACATGCCACTCTTGTAATCACATCGGTTGTAGGTTGTTGTAATGAAGATAATATCTTAATATTTTAGGTTTGATTCAAGAATATCTTGTCCCCACACAGTTCCTTCACATAACCAGCAGGAAACCAGTTAATTCAAAAAACATCAAAAATTTAAATTGAAAAAATGTGAAATTTTTAAGTTCTGAAATAATTATCTCAATCAACTCCTGAACTGCTCAGGTTTCAACCTATACAGTCACATTAAATAGGAAAATTTAAATGAAATGTTAAGAGACAAAAAGGGGGGGGGTCTTTTGTGCTGATTTTCATTTAACGACTGTGTTTTAGTTTTTCGTTGCTGCAGAGTGGAGACATGATAACTTTCTCTTTGATTTGCTATGTACACTCAATTCTAATCTTTTATGTACTATATAAAGTACCCATAAGGTGATACATTTTTTTATAATTAATTCTTCTTAATTTGCTATGTACACTCAAATCTTATCTTTTATGTACTCCCGGGAAAAAAAATTTGAAAAAAAAATAATTTTGAAAAAAATATGTTCGATTTTTTTTTGCCTTTAACACCCCCCGGCCACCCATAAGTGACCACAACAAATTTCAACCCAATCGGTCCAGCCGTTTGGCCAGCTATACGCAACATATATAGTATATATACGAATGTCTTGTTTTATTATATAGATATATCTAGTACCCATAAGGTGATACAGTTTTATTTATTTAATGTTTACTTTTAACTTATATTTAATTTGCTATGTACGCTCAATTCTTATATTGTATGCTTTATAAAGTACCCAAAATGTGATAAATTTTTATATATTTGATTATATGTGTATTTTTAACTTAAATTTCATTTGCTATGTACGCTCAATTCTTATATTGTATGCTTTATAAAGTACCCAAATGTGATAAATTTTTATATATTTGATTATATGTGTATTTTTAACTTAAATTTTATTTGTTATGTACGCTCAATTCTTATATTGTATATTTTATATAAAGTACCCAAATGTGATAAATTTTTATATATTTGATTATATGTGTATTTTTAACTTAAATTTTATTTGTTATGTACGCTCAATTCTTATATTGTATATTTTATATAAAGTACCCAAAAGGTGATACATTTTTGTATATTTTACGTTGATTTTAAAACATACATTTCATTTTTTTCGTTTACTTGTTGTCTTTCAATCATTGAAAGATTATAATGCTTTTGTTAACTTTTTTATATTTTTTATGATTAATTTTAGCTTTGTTCGATCTTGTTCAGTTTCAATTGGTTTGTCTAGGATGTATTATAGCTCTAGAAGCAAAGAGTTTACTGCAATATTAGAATCTCCTTACCCTGGAAAATACAGAAGGTACGGCTGGTTATATATAAATTCAGCTTGTTTGTTTGTTTGTATCTAATATTATATTTTTATCGTGGATGTACCCAAGAGTATTTAAAAACACATAAATTTCATTTAAGATAAAAATGACTAATTTTAGCTAAAAATATAAAGTTTTGTTGACTACAAAAGCATCTAACGACCTAAATAGCATCTAAAATAGATTAAAAATCAAAGGTTTTACAAATTCAACAAAAACAAATTTATCGCAAAATTTATTGAACTGTACCGTACTTTACTAACCTATACTTCACTGTACTGTACCTGAAAATAATATGGATGAAAACATGATTGAAGGTATTTGTTAAGGATGCGAATACCTGAGAAGAGTGTGGATAGATATATTGTTAAATCTTTTAACCAATATATGCATAAACCACCGGGCAACACCACCATTATCATTCATAAAAACTTTTTCAGGTCAGCTGTTTTTTTAAGCAACCCCCCCCCCTTAAAGTTTAATAAATGGGTACCCTGGGAGTGACATTTTTTTCAAAAGTCGAAATTTTTTTAAGCTGAATTTTTCCAAATTTCGAAAGTTTTTTTTTCAAAGTTTTTTTTTCAAAATCCATCGGGCACCGCCGGGGACTTCAGCTGAAACTTTATAAGAGTGCAATATTAATAAATTTAATAATATTTATTTCTAGGGTTCCACTGTACTACAACCAGCTACTGCTACCAAAGTATACACAACTACACAGCGGGATGTGAACACATTTTTGACGCATACGAAAAATTTTTAAGATTATTATTTATGTTTTTTTTTGTAAATTTCAGATAAAATGGAAAGTCTGCAAAGTAATCCAGAAAATAAAGGTAAAATGTTAATTTGAAAGAACTGTGCATCAATTTAGGACTTTTTTTCGGAATCAGCTGCTTACCACTGGTGATTTAAGTAAAAAATTAAATAGGATTTTTACCAAATTTTAACCTTTTAAGGTGATTTAAGTAAAAAATTAAATAGGATTTTTACCAAATTTTAACCTTTTAAATTAAAGAACATTGCCCCAATAGGCCAAATCCCTATTAAAAAAAAATAATTAACATTGGTTAAAAATTAGATTTAAAACATTTTCATTTCATACATCATTAACTTGGAAATTTTATGCTAAATTCATATTCAAAAACCATTAAAATATATGTATGAGAAATCAATAAAGGTAAGTTAATAGACAAGTACATCAATTTTATTTGGTTCCATCTAGCGGCCAATGTTTTATAAATTATTAGTTCCTATATTCAACGCTTCATCGTATGAAGTTGTAATTGTGGCGCTGCATGTCCTCGTTTATTTTTTCTCTTATTGACTGACGCCTTATAAACTGTATATCCTGAACCTGATATCCAACTACTAAATGAAAACTATTATCCAAATTTTATATCCTGAACCTGATATCCAACTACTAGATGAAAACTATTATCCGAACGTTATATCCTGAACCTATTTTTAACTACTAGATGAGAACTGTTATCAAACTGTATATCCTGAACCTGTAACTACTAGATGAAAACTATTATCCAAACTTTATATCCTGAACCTAATATCCAACTACTAGATGAGAACTATTATCAAACTGTATATCCTGAACCTGATATCCAACTACTAGATGAAAACTATTATCAAACTGTATATCCTGAACCTGATATCCAACTACTAGATGAAAACTATTATCAAACTGTATATCCAACTACTAGATGAAAACTATTATCCAAACTTTATATCCTGAACCTGATATCCAACTACTAGATGAAAACTATTATCCAAACTTTATATCCTGGACCTGATATCCAACTGCTAGATGAAAATTATTATCCAAACTTTATATCCTGAACCTGATATCCAACTACTAGATGAAAACTATTATCCAAACTTTATATCCTGAACCTGACATCCAACTCCAAACTTTCCCAAAGTTAGTGCTTTAGCGCATACAATTTTCTAAATATTTTTATAATGTTAAATAAATGTTAATTAAGCAAAAAAATTCCTAGGAAATAAGGTTTTACATTTTAAGTGACGTAGATATTCTTATTTTTCTATCTGAAAATAAAATGCTGAGAAAATCGAGTGTACACTGTACTGGCAATGAGAATATATCCGGTATAAGGGCACCGTGACCATTGTGAAAGGAGTGGTCAATTGAAATTCAGTATCTTTCATGTTACAAATAGATATTTTTCACAATCAGTGCTTTGAACTGAGTTTTTCTTATAGAACCCACGGAGTCTCCTAGAAGTTCAAGCCCACCTCTAGAATGTCCTCCAACACCAGAACAAGTTCCTCCAGGCTCTAAAACCCCGCCTCCAGGTAGTAAAATATAGCCTTCAAGTAGTTTATTCTGGCCTCTAAAGTCCAGGTAGCTAAATACATTGTAAGTCAAAATAAAACGGTATTATTGACGTTTTGGACAAAATTTTCAGATTTTAGATGTAGAAAACATAAAATTTGATCATTGAAAAAATTATCCGCGAAACTAAGTTTTTTTTAAATGGAATTTTTTGAAATTTTGGGAATATGTTCATTTTATTATTTTCCAAAATTTCATAAAAAAAACTCATAGATTAAATGAGATAAAAAAATCCGCAAAAAATTTGAAGCGATATCTGCAGCAAATGTTATCAAAAAGTACCTTAGAACCGTTATGACGTCATGTTATGACTTCAAAAATGCAATTAATTGGTTTACAGTAATTGTAATTCAATTTGAGATGAATATATGAAGTTTTGGGAAAAAATTATTTCCGCAAAATTTTTTTATGTTCCAAATTTTTTTTTTTTTTTATCAAAATTTGTATTCCCATTTTGCTACTAAGGCTACTTTTGAGCGTTACCTTTGTTTTTAAATTTTATTTCACATACTTGAAAATATTCAAAAAAAAAAACACACATTCCTGTTAAGTGTTTATTTAGCATTTTTCATTATTCACGAATATATCTGGCATACACACTGAATCCTATAAAATTCAGGCCATCTCTGAATCACTAAATCCCATTTAATGTTTTATAACCTATAGGTCATAGTATGATAGTTAATAATCTCTATATAAATTAAGTAGTAATATATAAAGTATACGGTGGTAGTAACTTTGAGTAACCTGGTCAACGCTGGGTGCCCAATCTATTAATAATGTTAATCCAGGACCCAGTAAGGAGTATAGTAAACGTGTATCCAGGAAGCTAATGCAATCTATTAATATTGTTAGTCCAGGACCCAGTAAGGAGTATTATAAACGTGTATCCAGGAAGCTAAGGTAATCTATTAATAATGTTAATCCAGGACCCAGTAAGGAGTATAGTAAACGTGTATCCAGGAAGCTAAGGCAATCTATTAATAATGTTAGTCCAGGACCCAGTAAGGAGTATAGTAAACGTGTATCCAGGAAGCTAAGGTAATCTATTAATAATGTTAATCCAGGACCCAGTAAGGAGTATAGTAAACGTGTATCCAGGAAGCTAAGGTCTAAATCTTTAGATACTAGGGATCAAGGATCNATCGTTATCGTTATCGTTATCGTTATCGTTATCGTTATCGTTATCGTTATCGTTATCATTATCATTATCCTACTAGGTTGTCCTATATGTCTGGGTAAGATAGAAAATAGAGCTAAAACAGATACTTGTTTTCATGAATTCTGCTTCACTTGTCTGATTGAATGGGCCAAGGTGAGATTACGATTACAAACATTAAGCTGCCCCCCTCCCTTGGGCTCTAACCTCCCCCCCTCCTTAGTGGGTCCAACCTCTCCCCCCCCTGGTAGAGCCTAAAAAATAATCTCGGATGTGTGACATATTTTTAGGGGATAAGTCCGACAATGACCTACATATTTGACTATTTTGGGAATTTATTCCCCCGCCCCTGTTGTTTTGGAAAATTTATAGACCTATATTAAATTGGTCATACTGAATACTTATATCTTTAATATATATTTGCGTGCAGTTCATAGTAAGTTTTTTTTCTGATTTTAAGCTAACTTAAGATTAAATATATCCTTGAGTTCAAATTTTTGCAAAATCCTTTAAAACTTTAATTTGCCCTTCAAGACTTTCAATTTATAAACTTTGGCCTTCAAGACTTCATAAGCCACTTTGACCCTCAAAACTTAAAATGTACAGACTTTGACCATTAAGACTTCAAAATGTTTAGTAATTGACCGTCAAGACATGAAATTATTTGAAATTTGTCAGATGATATTTAAAATGAATCGATTTTGACCTTCTAAAGACTTCAAATTATTAATCTAATGTGAAATGATTTAAAATTTAAGGTTTTCAAATGAAAGACTGACCTCAACTTTGATCTTCAAATGTTTTGACCATAACCTTTATTGTGTAAAATAAGTGTACTGTTATGTACTTTTTTTCAATAAACCTTTAATCTTGTACTTTGCTTTATTTGACCTTGTCCTAGGTTCGACCTGTCTGCCCACTGTGTAAAGGAAAATTTAGTTACGTGATTCATAATATACGCTCAGATTCAGAATATGACAGGTACAATCAGTGAGAGTAGAAATAAGGAGTGGTGGATAGTGTAAAACCAATGTGATTAGAATAAAGGAGAGAAACAAATTTGATTAGAAATAAAGAAGAGTGGAAAGTGTAAAACCAATGAGAGTGTAAATAAGGAGAGTGGAATAGTGTAAAACCTATGTGAGTAGAACCAAGGAGAGGTGGATAGTGTAAAACCAAAGTGAGCAGAATTAAGGAGGAGTGGATAGGGTGAAACCAATGAGAGTATAAATAAGGAGAGGTGGATAGGATTAAACCAATGAGAGTAAAAATGAGGAGTGGGGGATAGTGTAAAGCCAATGAAAATAGAAATTTGGAGAGGTGGGTAAGGTGAAACCAATGAGGAAAAAATAAGGAGAGGTGGATAATGATTTTCCCCCCACATTTTCTTCATTCTTATTCCTACTTTTTGCTGGTTTTTAAATGATCTATTTCGCTTTTTTTTGTTAATTTCATTTTTAACCTAAATTTTTTATATATAATATTTTTTTGTATTTAAATTATATATTTTTATCCTACATCATTACTTTTTTATACATCTCTTTTTAAAACACTTAAACTTTTTCATATTTCTCTTATTTATTCATTTAAGTTTTTTTTAAATTTCACTTTCATTATTTCATTGTATTAGGTATGATCTGCCGACTGTGGTTGAACAGGTTGAAGAGGTTCTTCATGGACATCTTAGTGATTTCAGGATGCATAATCGTAGATTTCGGTATCATACCACACTCACAGACCAACATCTCATCTCCAGAAGGTAGGTTAATACACATTACCCAGCAAACCAGTCAACGTCTCAACGACAGTGTAACGTCGCCCAGTATTATCCCATTCGCATAGACCAGCATATCATATAACACTCACAGACCAACATCTCATCTCCAGAAGGTAGGTTAAACACATTACCCAGTAAACCAGACAACGTCTTAATCACAGTGTAACGTCGCTAAGTAGGTTTCAGGATCCATAAACTTCCATTATGTTATTCACACGCATAGACCAGCATATCATATAACACTTTCAGACCAACATCTCATCTCCAGAAGGTAGGTTAATACACATTACCCAGCAAACCAGTCAACGTCTCAACGACAGTGTAACGTCGCCCAGTAGGTTTCAGGATCCATAAACTTCCATTATGTTATTATCCCACACGCATAGACCAGCATTTCATATAACACTTACAGACCAACATGTTATCTCAATTTTTAAACTCTGTTTATTATTCCCTACAAATAGCAGACACAACATTATTTTTGTGATGTACGAAGAAATAGCAGTGACATGAAAGCTTTTTCTCTCAGCAAAAATTCATAATGGAAAAAAGCGCAAACGTTTTTGCCAGCCATATATTACTAGAAATCACAAACCATTATCAGAACAAAAATAGTTTTTAAAGATTTGACAAGTTATATCTCAGGGCCAGGTTGGAGGCACAGCTGCAGAATCACAATATTCCTGCATTTCCTGACAGAATTCTCCCAAGTCGTCACCATTTTAACAGAAGGTATATATTGCAAAAATTGACAAGTAATTGCTACACCTAGTGGTGGGTTTTTTAACTAATTGTGTGTCCTTTTTAAGGCGCGGACGTGGTATGTCTGAGTTCCGTCGGGATTTATATGCCAGGGATCTCTGGGTTTTACCTCTAGCAGATATTACAGGTATTAAACGTTTTTAATCATTTGATTTTAACGTACATTTTTTAATTATTTAAAAAAAAATAACATGGACGCTGTACTATTTCTTAGAAACTGTTGTACAATTTGAATATTATTTACAGTGCAAATCAGATATAATAGAGTAACAGAGATCAATTTAAACCTTTGATATGCGATCTTTTCCACAGCATGATCTATTGTGTACAAGTACTGTACAGTACACGACCAATCAGCAGACATCTGTATTTAGAGATATTTAAGGATCCTTTGGATACGAAATACAAAATCTTTTATAAACTTAATTCATAAATGTTTTATGTTTAAATTTGGAGCATGGCGTGCCGGGACATTTTAGACCTGCTTAGCCTATCAAGTTATAGTGTATGCGCACTGCGCAGTCAGTTTACTGTTTAGTCTGTGGTGCAAATGTTCAATACTGATTTCAATATTCGTCTACTAACATAGTGTACATAATTATGTTTTTCCTTGTAGGGCGTTACAGAAACTGTTCCCCAGATTGGTATAGGTCTAATGAAGCTCAAATACACAGGTTTGGTTTTTTCTTATTTGTTTTTTAGCATTTTTATTAATCATACTTATGTATTGTGCATGGAGAAATTCTTTAAATGTTTTATTAAGCACAGATTAAATCTTTAAATGTTTTATTGTGCATTAAGCAGATTTGAGCAGATTAAATCTTTGAATCTAATATTGTGCATTAAGCAGATTAAATCTTTAAATGTTTTATTGTGCATTAAGCAGATTAAATATTTAAATGTTATATTGGCATTGAGCAGATTAAATCTTTAAATGTTTTATTGTGCATTAAGCAAATTAAATCTTTAAATGTTTAATTGTGCATTGAGCAGATTAAATCTTTAAATTTAATATTGTGCATTGAGCAGATTAAATCTTTAAATTTAATATTGTGCATTGAGCAGATTAAATCTTTAAATCTAATATTGTGCATTGAGCAGATTAAATCTTTAAATCTAATATTGTGCATTGAGCAGATTAAATCTTTAAATGTTTTATTGTGCATTGAGAAGATTAAATCTCTAAATCTTAAATTTGGAAAAGAATTATTTCTTATAAACAGTGATTACAATAAAACTCTAAAATAGGAAGACGACTTTTAAATTCAAGAAATAACTTTAAAAAGTCTAATGAACATGAGAAATAGCAATTGTGTAGTGTAAACAGACCCATTTAACTTAATTTTTGGTTTAATTAGTGTCTATTAAATTCAGAGGCGTATTCCTAGGGGGGGCTATGGGGGCTAAGCCCCCCTGGACATTTATTGATTTCAGAGGGTTTTCAGGCCCCAACGGGTGCTGAGTCCCCCTGGAAAGAGAAAGAAAATTTAAGCTCCCATTGGACAAATTCTTGAATACGCCCCTGAAAAAAAACCATTAGTTTTGTTTTGACATTCATGACACGAAAGTTTTGCCACAATGTCGTCTTCCTGTTCTTTTGTTTTGAGGGGTGTATATTTTCATAATTTTCAAAAGCCAACTCTTATCAGTTTATTAAATACTTTCAAAAAAAAATTTCCCTTAAAATAATTTATTTTCCCTAATTTTCCCCAATAAAAAAACGCTTGTAAATGTATAAATTCTGGGAAAAAATGATTTTCAAAAAAAGGGGAGGGGTTGGGGGGTTGGAAGAATAATTGTTTTTTGAGAAAATACACCCCTTTGTTTTGTCTAGACTGGTTCCCTTTCTGAACAGAGAACTGCTGGCACTACTAGAGGGAGGCCCACACCGGGTAAAGCTGAAGAGACTGTTACCGAATTATTTGTTGAAGGGGCTATAACGTAGTTTTAATCTAAGGGACTGCAGACACAATGAAGATATCCTTGTTATATCTGAAAATTGAAAATGCGTATTGTGGGTTCTCAAATGACTTTTTTTTTTTGCAGCGATAAGGGAGGAAATAGGCAGAATTTATCTCATTTGATTTTAAATCGAATAAAGTTGTTAGGAGTATCGTTGTGTTCTTCGTTTTTTAGGATTTTCTCATTATAGACGCAACAGATAGAAGTGAAATTAGTAGTGATCACCATCGATAATTTTTCGCCGTAAGCCCCCTTTCAATTTTCACGATCACTCCCTTTAAAATTAAGGGTTACTTAACATTACGTAGGCGGCTGCAGTACCTTCAATTATTTATTTATCTTTTATCACTTAAAACTGAAAACATCATTTTAAAAGAGCTGAAACTTAATTTTAGGGGACCCTCTATTAGTATCCGTCGAAAAAAACAAGATTTTCTTTCTTGTCGTTTTTCACATCAAAGGTTTACAGGGTACCGTTGTGAATCGGGTAGACCGTTCTATTAATGGAATTTCACTTAAAACTACAGTTCCCTTTCTCACTTTTTGTGAATGTTCCAATAATTTTTTCTTTTTCAGTCCCAGCAGGCGTATCTCACCACACAGATAACAGATTGGATTACAAGGTAATTGTTATTTATTCCATCTATCTATCTATCTATCTATACATCTATCTATCTATCTATCTATCTATCTATCTATCTATCTATCCATCTATCCATCTATCCATCTATCCATCTATCCATCTATCCATCTATCCATCTATCTATCCATCTATCTATTTATCTATTTATCTGTCTGTCAGTGTCTGTCTGTTTATTTAACTATATCTGTCTGTATCTTTATGTCTATCTAATATTTATCTTTTCAGATCTGTATATTAATCGTATCTCTTTGGATTTTTATTTTATCATTCTCAAGCTATCTATCTCAATTTATTTATCTCTATCTATCTTATCTATCTGTCTTATCTATCTATCTCTATCTATCTTTTCCATCTGTCTATATTTATCTATCTCTATTTTTTTTATCTCTTTCTATCTTTCTCTATTATCTATTAACCATCTCTACATATCTATCTATATATCCATCTCTATCTATCTATCTCAATCTATCTATCTCAATCTATTTATCTCAATCTATTTATCTCTAACTATCTAACTCTTTATCTATCTCTATTTATCTATCAATCTTATCTGTCCATCTATCTTTTTTAATCTATCTCTATCTATCTCTACCTATCAATCTCTATTTATCTGTCTCTTTCTATCTCTACCTATCTATCTCTATCTATCTATCTCTATGTATCTATCTCTACCTATCTATCTCTTACTATCTATCTCTACCGATCTATCTCTACTAGATCCCATATAGACCAGGGCAAGTGGAGGAGCTCAACCCTATTTTCATTGTATTTCAACCTACAGGCCGTTGTACTTTGTCTGTAGGTTGATTTTTAATAATATTAATACTAATCTCTATCTATCTCTATATTTCTATCTATCTATCTATCTATCTATCTATGTATCTATCTCTATCTATCTATCTATCTATCTCTATCTATCTATCTATCTATCTATCTATCTATCTATCTATTTATCTATCTATCTATCTATCTATTTCTATCCTAGATATGAGATCCAAAGTCCGGAGATGAGAGATAATCTTCTTCCATACCTTGGCCTTAGGTATTCAATTCATTCATTCATTCATTCACCCTTTCATTCTTTCATCCTTTCATTCTTTCATCCTTTCATTCTTTCATTCATTCATTCATTCATTCATTCATCCTTTCATTCATTCATTCATTCATTCACCTAGTCATCCTGTTATTCAGTCAACCTTCCAAATTATTCATATATCCTTCCAAATCATCCTTTCATTCATTCATCCTTTCAAATCATTCATTTAAAAATTCATGAATATTATTTAATTAATTAATGCTTGATTATTTTATTTTTTTTATAATTTAAGTTATTATTTCATTTTATCAGTTTTAATTGAGGGGAATTTATTTAATTTAAGTTCATCAATATAAATTTTCTTTTTAAATTACTTAATTAAAAATTTTATTTTTAAATAATTTAGGACTGAGCATTTTCAACATGAGCTGTACAACTTTGCCAGGTAGAGAGGACGTTAATATAGGTCTTTTTAACTTAGAAATGACATTTAAATGTGACGTTTCTTTAGGTTTGAAAGGACGTTGATATAGGACGTTGTTTAGGTTTGACAGGACGTTAGTATAGGACGTTGTTTAGGTTTGACAGGACGTTGATATAGGACGTTGTTTAGGTTTGACAGGACGTTGGTATAGGACGTTGTTTAGGTTTGACAGGACGTTGATATAGGACACTGTTTAGGTTTGACAGGACGTTGATATAGGGCGTTTGTTAGGTGTGATAGGACGTTGATATATTATGCTGTTTTGGTTTGACAGGACGTTGATTTAGGACGACAGGACGTTGATATAGGATCTTTTATAGGTTAGATGTTAGACAATATATTTGACAAGATATTGGACAAGTTTGACAGGAATTAGATAGGAAGTTTGACAGGAAGTTTGACAAGAAAATTTGACAGGAAGTTTGACAGGAAGTTTGACAGGAAGTTTGACAGGAAGTTTGACAGGAAGTTTGACAGGAATTAGACAGGAAGTTTGACAGGAAGTTTGACAGGAAGTTTGACAGGAAGTTTGACAGGAATTAGATAGGAAGTTTGACAGGAAATTTGACAGGAAGTTTGACAGGAAGTTTGACAGGAAGTTTGACAGGAAATTTGACAGGAATTAGACAGGAATTAGACAGGAAGTTTGACAGGAAGTTTGACAGGAAATTTGACAGGAATTAGACAGGAATTAGACAGGAAGTTTGACAGGAAGTTTGACAGGAAGTATGACAGGAAGTTTGACAGGAAGTTTAACAGTAAGTAGACAGAAAGTTTGACAAGAAGTAAGACAGGAACTTAGACAGGAAGTAGCACAGGCAAAAACAGTAAGGTAGACATGAGGTATAAAATCGGACATGAACCCTCTAATCTATCTGTCTATCTATCTATCTATCTCTATATATCTACCTATCTACATACCTTCCTCTATCTATTTTTCTATCTAACTATCCATCTCTTTATATTTACCTATCTACCTACCTACCTACCTATCTATCTATCTATCTATCTATCTATATATATCTATCTATCTAGATCTACATATGACCTAGTGGGATATGATAACAATGCTGAGTATCAGACTCGTCGTCTTCCCACAGCTGAAGTAAGAATCTTTAAAAAAATGATGTTTAAAAAATTGCTTTTTTAGAATTTAGATTTTACACCCTGTCCGTTAATTTGTTTTATTTGATTGTCAACAAAGCATAAACAAAGCAACCAATGTAAAACAAAATAATATTGTTAATTAAAATCATTAATTTCTTCTCACCAAACGCTAGGATGGCCATTTTAGGTATAATTTAACTTAGATTTAAAGTTTTTAAATGTGAATTATCCTGGATAGAAGTGGTTTTTTGTAATAGCTGTAATAGCCTAACCAAACCGTCCAGAAGAAATTCTGTGGCAGTACGAACTTCGGATTGTATAATGCATAAACAAAATGATGAATGATAATTTAAACCGTTACTATTACAATTATTATAATTATTAGCTTCTCGCCACTAAACTGTAGCTATGGAAGGAGTAGTAATATATGATATTAAGGTTGTCTCAAGTGAATCTGAATCTGGATCTGAAGATTACAGACACATCGTTGAGACAGCTGTAGAGGCCAGGGTAGAGGAACCTATACTTGGATTCAGTAGTGTTATTAATACCAGTCTAGAGATACTTAATACACAGTCAAGGTAATATATATACTACAATACTGTTATTAATACCAGTCTAGATATACTTAATTCACAGTCAAGGTAATTACCAAAATCGTATTTGAATTGTTAATGATAATATGATAATAATCATTATGATAATATTAATAATCTTATTAATATTTAGAAGATCTGAGTCTAGTCGACACAGAAACCGTGATGAAGAGATTAGATCAAGATCAGCTGATCGGAGGGAAGGATGGAGGCAGTGGAGGCGGAGGCAGAGACAAAACATTCTCGGAGGAGATCAGGGTCAGACAATTTATTCATTATTTTATTGTTTTCATTCATTAGTTCATTGTTTTCATTCATTAGTTCATAGTTTTCATTCATTAGTTCAGTGTTTTCATTCATTAGTTCATAGTTTTCATTCATTAGTTCATAGTTTTCATTTATTAGATCAGTGTTTTCATTCATTAGTTCATAGTTTTCATTCATTAGTTCAGTGTTTTCATTCATTAGTTCATAGTTTTCATTCATTAGTTCATTTGTTTCATTCATTAGTTCATTGGTTTTATTTATTAGTTCATTGGTTTTATTTATTAGTTTATTGTTTTCATTCATTAGTTCATTGTTTTCATTCATTAGTTCATTTATTTCATTCATTAGTTCATTGGTTTTATTTATTAGCTTATTCTTTTCATTTATTAGTTCATTGTTTTTAATCACTAGTTACTTTTTTGACTGCACATTTGTTGCAAAAATTTTTATATTATTTTTAATTTAGGATCCCGTTCACGAAGACAATCTGGATCCCAGGATCGCACAGATCGCGCTTCACCCTTTCAAAGAACTTCTGATGTGATTGCTCGATCTTGTGATGCTTATGGAGTTCCTTTTCAACGAAGGTGACCAGATAGATTTTATGATGATAAGATTCACTTTTAGAAGAATTAAACATTTATTTTCAATTGAAATATTTTTTGCCTAAAAGCGTGTTTAAAGCTAGTTAATGCAATTATCACATGTGTACGATTAACGCAGATGCATCTATAAACGCATAAAATCGGCACCGTTGTACCAAAATCAACGTTTTCTTACGCATTAGTATCCAATTAACGCTTTTTTAATGTTAGTAAAATTGACGCATTAATGCAGATGTGTACGATTTGACGCAGATACATCTATAAATTTATAAAAATCGGCGCCGTTGTAACAGAATTAAAGTTTTCGTACGCATTTTTATCCAATTTACGCTTTTGTAATGTTAGTAAAATTGACGCATTAATGTAGATGTGTTTGATTGACGCAGATGCATCTATGCACGCATAAAATTGGCGCTGTTGTAACAGAAGTTACGCATTTGTATCCAATTTACGCTTTGTAATGTTTGCAAAATTGACGCATTTTATCAATGGTTTTCAGGTCCAACTCGACAGATGCGCCGACTGTCCCTTTCCGTCCAGCTCGCGGTCAGAACACGCCCGCCATTCTTCAGAGGTTGAATTTACAGGTATATGATGAATGGATGGATGGATGGATGGATTGATACTAAGTTCACTAATTTAATCATAGATAGGTAGATAGATGGGTGTAAGGATGGATGGATGGATGGATGGATGGATGGATGGATGGATAGATAGATAGATAGATAGATAGATAGATAGATAGATAGATAGATAGATAGATAGATAGATATATAAATAGATAGATAAATAGATAGATAAATAGATAGATAGATAGATAGATAGATAGATAGATAGATAGATAGATAGATAGATAGATAGATAGATAGATAGATAGATAGATAGATAGATAGATAGATAGATAGATAGATAGATAGATAGATAGNCATTAATCAATCTAATATTATTTAGAATGCAGAAAATAAGTTAAACTAACTTCATTTTGACGAGAATTTTTTTTTTATTTTCATGAAAAATTTGCTGAAATGAGTGAAAATTTAAAAAAACGGTGTATTTTCCAGGATAAAAATCCGTACAATCCGTACAATTTGAAAACAAATCCGTACAATCCGTACAATCCGTACAATTTTAGGGTTAAAAAAAATCAATCCGTACAATCCGTACATTTTGGCCACCCTGGATCTCGATAAAAATTTATTAGTTTCAATTGTGGTTTCTCTATACGGATTTCCGATCAAAAACAATGGAGGAAATCATCAGAATTCAATACTTTTCAAGACTAGAGAAACATCGATATATTCCAAATCCTTGATGTGTAAAAGGTTTCAAGTTTATAACTGTACTTGACTAGGATAAGCCCCGTTTTAAAAAGATGGTCATTTGTTTAAATAGAGTTATAACAGATAGAGTATAGGTGTACTTGAGTACAAGCAGATTTAGATAGATGTGGGTTTCAAAAACATTGCTCACATTAGAAGCGCTAGTATCTCCTTAGCCCTGTAAAGAATGGGGGGAAGGGGTGGGATGGTTTTGGGGGATTTAAACAACACTAAGTGATTGCTGATGCTGAAATAGGATTCGTAATTTTCGACTTTTTTCTTCAAAATTAGTTTTTAACTTTTTAAGCTTATAAAAATGATGAATTTAATTTGTTTGTTATTGTTTAGGCCGATATGATTCAATCTCTTATACGTAACTCTAGGGAGCAACAGGAGCCCACTCACACTACTAGCTCCACATATTCAAGGTAATAGGAGCCCACTCACACTACTAGCTCCACATATTCAAGGTAATAGGAGCCCACTCATACTACTATCTCCACATATTCAAGGTAATAGGAACCCACTCATATTACTATCTCCACATATTCAAGGTTATAGGAGCCGACTCATTCTACTAACTCCACATATTCAAGGTAATAGGAACCCACTTATACTACTAGCTCCACATATTCAAGGTAATAGGAGCCGACTCATACTACTAGCTCCACATATTCAAGGTAATAGGAGCCCACTCATTCTAAGTTAATTCGAGAATTATTAAAGGGACTGTAAGCGTAATTTCAAGTGACCCTACATGCAAATATAAATTAGGAATGCATGTTTTTTTTATGTTCATTTTTATTTGCGGGTTCTCTGCGAAACAGACGAATAGAAATATTTCGGGCATTGCCAATTTTGCATGAAGGGTCACTTGAAATTACACTTTCAGTCCCTTTAAAGGAAACGATCTGATAGACAGATGTGTATTATTATTTTAGAGGAAAGGTTTAGGGATTATTTGATAATTTTTTTATTTACTGACAAACTTACGAATAAGACCCTAACAAAAAACTCAGATTCAATTATTTATATATATTGTTCAGAATATTTCATAGATTATTTTTGTGAAAATGGATTCCATGTCAGGCTGTGACATCCGTCTTGTGTTTACTTTTTCGCCCAAAGACAGTACACTACAGTACAAAAAATGCGTACACCTCTGAAAAAACTTTCCTTGAATTAGTACCTTGGAAATAGGTATGGATAATTGAGAAAATTATCTAATGTTCTTTCGGGTACATTGTTCGGGTACATTGAAAAACTAGTTGAGCTATCCGTACCTAGTTTAGCTACTTGTTGAGGTTAATCAAAACTGAGGCCAGAACTTATAAACTTAACTAAATCGGACAAAATAACTAATTCTTTCAATCCCATTGGTCAAAAAGCCATTAAAGTTTAATTATTTTAAACTCTGAATTAATTGATATATCCTATCCCCCCCTCTTCCACCCCCCCCCCTATTTTTGATACTAATCTTTAACATTTCATACATTTTTGTAAAGCCCTTAGACTCTACTTCAAGAATCTGTTTTTTTCAGGATTTGTCAAGAAATTTTCCGCATTTAGTTGATGTTGTAGAGGAAATGATCTTAAAATGATAATTAATGATAATTTTATAATTTTATTGAAATTATCGTCTAAATAACATTTGTTTTGGTGCTGTAGATTGTGGAGAGATTATTTTGTTTTATTTTTTATAAATTTTGTGGCTCTAACTTTGAGCATTTTCTCTTCGAACAACATAAAACATTAAAAGAATTTTTTTTTCGGATTTTTAAAATTTTTTCGTGGATTTAAAAATTTTACAAAAATCTTAATTTTTTGGAGACGCAATTTTGTAATTCTGAACATTTGAAACCTTCCCTTTTGTGTCCACACTCCTGAAAATGGAGCATCAGGTTTCAAGTCAAAACACCTAAACTTTTTGTTTGGTATATTTTTATGTATATGCAGTCAACTGAGATATAATCTCAATTTTCAGAAAATGCCACCTTGGAAATTTTTGAGCAAATCAATTTTTAAGAAATTGAAAAATCTAGTGCATTCAAAGGTCTAAAATTAAATCAAAATTTGGTTTCAAGACTTCAATCTGCTTCTTTTGGGTTTTCTGACCGTGTATTGCATGGTCTCCAAATTTTTTTATTTTTCTTGAACAGTCATGAAACATATTGTAGCAAAAATTCAAACCCCTAAGTCAACTGCCTGACTGTCAAAATGCGACCCAAAAAGTCTTTTTGATGTAATTTTTACTGATTTTACTTTGAAACAGATTTTTTTGGCATTATAATTATACAGTTCACTTAAGACTTTGATTTTTTGCTTAACCATGTCTTATGACTGTTAAGGAAAATTCACAAAATTTGGTTCTAAAATTATCGCAAGAAGACACAGAATAAGCTTGATTAATCCTTGAAACTACAGTTACGTTTGAGTTTAGACCTGAAAATGCACTTAATTTCTACAATTTTTTTTAATATGGATTTACTAAAACTTCCCTAGGTGGCATTTTCTGAAAATTGAGATTATAACCTGATGGTCCATTTTCAGCAGTGTGTGTCAAAAATATTGGGCACCAATCGGTTCAGCCGTTTTGACGTTTGTTGGATACAAACAAACAAACAGACAGACAAACAAACAAAGTATATAAATAAATTATGAAGAATGGATGTTGTAGAAGCTTAAATCTATTATTATTGATAGTTTACTGTCAATTTATTTATTGGTGGGGAAACTTTAAAATTTTGTTGAAAAATTATTCTTTTTTATCCCCACCTTCCGCCCCCCTCCTGTCCCTTTTTTGTATAGAATAAGATCCTGTTGTTGGTTCAGGAAGATCCTAACTCTACCATAGATATTAGTACTCCGCCTAGGCAGATACCAGAGTCAAGGCAGATACTTACACCCTTGCAGACATCAGAACCATGGCAGATAGCAGATGTAAGGCAGATATCAGATACAGCTGAAATACTGGCCGAAGATTCTGATGAAGCACCGAGAAGACGTTCTACAGAGTCAGATAAAGAGTTGCGAAGGAAAGAGAAAGCGTCAAGGAAAGAGAAAGAAGGAAGGAAAGAGAAAGAGGGAAGAAAAGAGGAGGAGGGAGAGAAAAGAAAGAAGACAAAGAAGACTGATCTAGAAGGAAAGGGGGAGAAGAGAAAAAATGAAGATGGAAAGGAGAAGGAGAAGAGAGAGGAGAAGAAGAAGGAAAAAGAGAAGGGAGAGGAGCTTGAAAAGAAGAAGGAGGAAGAGAAGGGAGAGAAGCTGGAAAAGAAGAAGGAGGAAGAGATGGATAAAGATGAGGATTCTCCCATTGACCTGAGTGTATCAAGAATATCAGTGGATTCTTTAAATAAGGAACGGTTCTTCTGAATTCGTCCCTCTCCCCCTCTAGTTTTGGCACTGGTAAATAATTGCCAAATTAAATATACAGGGTGTCCCAAAAAACATGGGAATTCAGTGACGAATTGGATATCATCACTGAATCGATATGATTACAGATTTTTACAGTAGGTATCACTATATTAAATCAAAGAATTATTTTAAAAGACGATATAGAATTCGTCACTGAATTCCGATGTTTATTGGGACACCCTGTAGATTAAATATCTCCAAATAAACCCAGTGAAGAACTTTAATCAAAAATATGTGAGATATCCTGGGGTTTAAACCTTCAAATGTATTATTTTTCGTTTCCCTTTTAAACTAACTTTCGGATTCCAATTGTAAATCGGGCCTTGATTTCCACGGAATGATTCCTACTCTGGTAAATAGAATAAACATTTTATAAAACTCAATCATGATACAATGAGACCCACAAAACTGTAGAATAGGAAGACGACAATTAAACAGCCTTATTTGTTTTTGTTGTTGTTAAAAAGCAAATAGTTTTACTAGTAGCTGGAAAATTAACTTAATACTAAAAACGCTACCCTACAAAAACATTACCTAGGCTTTTGTAAATATTAGAAAGTATATTCTGGGGTTTCCTTATTTATCCGGTGAAAATTCTGCTAAGAAATTGCATAAGACCTGGGCTGAATCCATAAGAGTGTTCATAAAATAAACATAAATAAAAAATTTTATTTGATACATTTAATTTGGGTTCGGAATTACATTATCTCTCATTTTATTTAATACATTTAATAATTTATGCTTTATCTTTAATCATAAACAATGATTTTCTTCTGAATTTTAGCGTTTTAGTAGTATAGCGTTTTAGTAGGGTAGCGTTTTAATAGTGTAGTGTTTTAGTAGGGTAGCGTTTTAGTAGTGTAGCATTTTAATAGTTTAGTGTTTTAGTAGTGTAGCGTTTTAGTAGTGTGTGTAGCGTTTTAGTAGGGTAGCGTTTGTAGAGTGTACAATTAATATTTGCTATGGTTATGTTCAATTGACTTTTAAATCATGACTTGAGGTTAAGCGTCATCTTCTTATTCCTCAATTGTATGGTTCTCATGATATAAATCTAATAAATACAGTTATTAAGTAAACCCAGGCTTTCAATTTTACCAGTTTATACTTATTAAAAGATTTTATTTACATCATTCAAAAATACGGCAAATATAATTACAATTACTGGCGAAATCTATGAAAATGTCACCCTAACCCCTATTTTACTGAACAACTGTACAGTGTACAGTGTACATAATTGGTAAATCTTTGAAAATGCCATTTTAACTCCCACACCTCATTTTACTTAACAACTACAGGGTGTCCCACGAAACATGACAGTTGATAAATAGTTTTGAATGTCGTCTT